GGGAAGTCCAGTTTCATCCACATTTAGGTGCAAAACTCTAAGTAAAATGACTCTGGCATTTTGCGCGCGGTTGTCACGCGCTACGCCCGAGGCCGTGGACCCGTCCCCTGTGTGTATATTATATTCATTTCGTCCAAATTGCCACGCAGCCCCGATGTAGTCACAAGCTCGAGGCGAGCCTGGAGCTTGCTCTCCTCCTTTCATCCTTATATAGACAATTGTACGGGCACACATACGTTCAACGAGCACTGGCTCGGCCTCTCCCAAACGTGCTGCATTGTCATAAACACTGTGTGAATAGTATCACAACAGGCGTTACTGTGAGGGAATCATGTGTCCTCATTGTATAATCAATGTCTCACGTTACTGTGTAAATAACTCCAGAGTTCTCCTTAGGAATTCTCTTTTTCTTCTTGTGAACAATCGTCTTATTCAAGTCGCACTAGACCTTGTCCATGCCCTTGTACCGTCACACCACCATCGGGCTCAGCCCCTTACAGCTGGAAGTCGGCGCCACAATGCCTTCTTTACCCTGCTCGGGCACGGCGACTTACAATAGGGACTGCAACATGAGGGCCCAAGCACAAGTGGATAGATTCTCTTTGCATGTACATCCCACTCCTTAAACCCACAGAATAAGCTGACATCTGAGCGGAGTTGCGCCATAACAAGTAAGCTATTGCGTTTGAATAAGCAGTAGCATTCAAAATTTCGCTCCCATTCGTAATTATTTTTCAATTTTTTTTGACACACTTGGTCTCTTGGAATAGAATCGATGACATGTAAGGGTAAGTATAGCACGTAATGACGGCTTTAGCTATGGTGTGATTTCTAACACGGAGATCGATGTTACTTCGCCTGAGTCAGGTGATACCTAGCTGGCCCCGAGTGATACATATTGCAACATCATGGTGTGTAATCTACTGAGGAATGCCAGCTAATACACTCGGACTCTGCGATCCATAATGCCGCATAGTTCACGACCACAGAACCGGAGCCGCCGCATAACTTGGCGAATATAGAAACTAGAGTTTCATCGAGTCAAGTTTCTGTTTCAGAGGCAAGAAAACTGAGGCTTTTCGCACTGCATACCATGTTTTTCTTATGTTTGCCGTATTTGTATTGCATTCCCAACGAAATGTGTATATATTTGTGCGATGCCGAACCTTCTCTCAAAATCTCTCTCCCGAACCACTCAACATACTAACCCATCGTCAACAACTACATTATAACATCTCGAAGGAGACAAAATCATCTTCTTCGCAGACTTCCAAAACTCTTTGACAATATGAAAGCCTCATGTATCCTTCTTTCCGTCTTCTCTGGACTGGCCATTGCTGCTCCCGCTCTTGACGCCCGTCAAAACATTGACAAGGCGAATGAGGTACTTAAAGCGCTTGGCGACAAGACTTCAGCCGTAAAGGCAGAC